TACAGAAAAAATTAGCCGGCCATGGGTGCATGCCTTGTAGTCCAGCTACTCGGGAGGCTGAGGCAGCAGGATTGCTTGAGCCCAGGAGTTTTGAGGTTGCTGTGAGCTAGGCTCCGCGCCATGCACTCACTCTAGCCTGGGCAACAGAGTGAGACTCTGTCTCAAAAAAAAAAATAATAAATAATAATAAATAAATAAAACATAATAAATAAATAAAATTTGTTTGTAGAGATGGCATCTCTCCTTATGTTGCATAGCTGGTCTCAAAACTTCTGGGCTCAAGGGATCCTTCCTGCCTAGGCCTAAAGTGTTGGGGTTATAGGGTGAAGCTACACACCCAGCCCCCTAATAACTGTAAATCATCCTAGATGATTTATAAACTTAATACAATGAAAAGGTATGTAAAAGTATGTTATAGATATAAAATTTGGTGATTTTGAATGTATATAGAAGTTATAATATTATGTTTTTTATTATTATATTTAACAGAATAATATTTGAATACAACTAGAGGAGATGAGAAATAGAACCAGATAAAAAAGACACAGAAATATAGACCAACATAACTGGATTCACATCCTGTCCGTCCACTGTCTAGCTATATGACTTTGGACATAATCTTTAAACTTGCTGTGCCTCATTTTTCCCATCTGTAATATGGAGATCATAATAACACTCACTTCATGGGATTGTTGTGATAAGTAAATAGGATAATGTACATAAAGTACTTATAAAAGGAAAAGAAACTTTTTTCTGTCTACTATCACACTCAACACAGACACCTTCTGTGATCAGATGTGTGAGGGTTTCTGTGTATCCTATAATTTAATTCGATTCTGACCTGGAGGTAGCATCAGATCCTGCAGGTTAAGGGCTCAATCCCATAAGACTGCTCCCCACTTCAGATGTCAATTGCAAGGTTGTCACCTATTATTCTGAGTGACCAGCTATAAATGGGGGCTCCTTTTATCCCCTCTTTGGGTTCAATTAATTTGCTGGCATGGCTCACAGAACTCAGGGAAACACATTTATTGGCTTATTATAAAGGATATTACGGCCGGGCGCGGTGGCTCACGCCTGTAATCCTAGCACTTTGGGAGGCCGAGGCGGGCAGATTGCTCAAGGTCAGGAGTTCAAAACCAGCCTGAGCAAGAGCGAGACCCCGTCTCTACTATAAATAGAAAGAAATTAATTGGCCAACTGATATATATATATAAAATTAGCCGGGCATGGTGGTGCATGCCTGTAGTCCCAGCTACCCGGGAGGCTGAGGCAGAAGGATCACTCGAGCCCAGGAGTTTGAGGTTGCTGTGAGCTAGGCTGACACCACGGCACTCACTCTAGCCTGGGCAACAAAGTGAGACTCTGTCTCAAAAAAAAAAAAACAAAAACAAAAAAAACCTATATAACAATGTTCGCATAGGGTTTCACTCTTGAGAGTTTCCATTTGGTAAAAGAAAATTTCCCAAATTTTGCAGGGTGGGTGAAAAGGTTTCTTGAAAGCAGACATGTCGGTTTCCTTTCCCTTTTCCCAGTCACTGTTCCAAGGTCCAAGTTGTAAGGTGCTTTGTTATCACACCTTGCTGGGGACAAGTTCTACAAATCATTCACACCCAGTCCTGTAACCTGTAGGCCACGCCCTGACTTATCATGCAACCGTTCATATCCGCTGCCTTGAGGGTTTTCAGCACTGCACTCTTTTCCTTAGTCTCTTCTCTTGTTCAGTGTGTCTGCTTTACCCCAAGCCCTTAAAGGCAGAAATATTATTGGTCTCTTTATTTTTAAATCATTTCAGACATACAGAAAGGTTGCAGGACAAGTTCAAAAAATTCTCGTATACTTTTCACCCACATTCCCATTTTTTTTATTTTTTATTTTTTTTTTGAGGCAGTCTTACTCTGTTGCCTGGACTAGAGTGCCGTGGCGTCAGCCTAGCTCACAGCAACCTCAAATTCCTGGGCCCAAGCGATCCTTCTGCCTCAGCCTCCTGAGTAGTTGGGACCACAGGCATGTGCCACCAAGCCTGGCTAATTTTTTCTCTATATATTTTTAGTTGTCCAGCTAATTTCTTTCTATTTTTTTAGTAGAAACAGGGTCTCACTCTTGCTCAGGCTGGTCTCAAACTCCTGAGCTCAAACTGTCCTCCTGCCTTGGCCTCCCAGAATACTAGGATTACAGGTGTGAGCCACCATGCTAGGCCATTCCCAGTTGTTAGTATCTTACATTTGCCATTCATTTTTATCAGTTTCTCTTTAAGTATATACATCGCTATGGGCTGAATTGTGTCCCCTCTAAAATTCAGTGTTGAAACCCTAACCTTAGAATGGAACTGTATTTGGAGATAGGACCTTTAACGTGATAATTAAGTTAAAATGAGGCTGTAAGGGTGAGCCCTAACCCAATCTGACTGGTGCACTTATAAAATGAGGTTAAGACATACAGAGAGAGGGACATCAGGGATGCATGTGCACAGAGCAAAGGCCAGGACACAGCAAGCACACAGCCATCTGCAAGCCAAGCCTGGTGGCCTCAGGAGGAACCAACCCTGTCAACACTTTGATTTTGTACTTTAAGCCTCCAGACCTGTGAAAAAATAAATTTCTGTTGTTTTAAGATACCCAGCCTATGGTATCTATGGTATCTGTGGTATTCTATGGTAGTCCTAGCAAACTAATACATAACATTATTTTTTTCGGATCCATTTGAAAGTAAGCTGTAGACATGATGTTCCTTTATCTTTTAAAGCAAGTACAGTACATTCTCTTGCATTACCACAATATGATTAGCTAAATCAGGAAATTAACACTGATAAGATGCTATTACCTAATTATAGACTTTTTTTTTCATATGTTTCCAATTGTCCAACAATGTCATTTATGGCAAAAGAAGAAAGAAAAAAGAAAAAAAAAAACGAAAGAAAAAAATTTTGGTCCATAAGCCAATCCAGAATCACAAAGCATTTAGTCGTCCTATCTAGAACAATTCCTCATTGTTTGTCTTTTATGGCCTTGACATTTTCAAAGAGCACAGGTGATTTATCTGATTTAACTTGTAGAATATCTCTCACTTTGGTCTTGTCTGATATTTCCTCATGATTAGATTCAGATCTACTAGTGTGTTCCAAAACTTCAGGGTTGTCAGGGCTGTGCTTTTTTCCTGAATAGTTTTAGCATTCTAGGTCTGCGATCTGTCTTCTCAATGTGAAAATGAGAAATTTGTAACAGTTTTTAGGAGACTCATTGGTTTAGGAAAATAATTTCATTAAAATTTTGATACTCGGCCGGGCTCAGTGGCTCACGCCTGTAATCCTAGCACTTTGGGAGGCTGAGGTCGGTGGATTGCTCAAGGTCAGGACTTCAAAAGCAGCCTGAGCAAGAGTGAGACCCTGTCTCTACTATAAATAGAAATTAATTGGCCAACTAATATATATAGAAAAAATTAGCAGGGCATGGTGGCGCATGCCTGTTGTCCCAGCTACTGGGGAGGCTGAGGCAGAAGGATTGCTTGAGCCCAGGAGTTTGAGGTTGCTGTGAGGTAGGCTGATGCCAGGGCACTCACTCACTCTAGCCTGGGCAACAAAGCGAGACTCTGTCTCAACCAAAAATAAAATAAAATAAAATAAAAATTTCAGACTCATTGCAAGCTAGTGTTGCAAGAAGTGTTGTGTCCTCAATGCATCATATCAGAAGGCACATCATGTGTGTTTGCTCCATTAATGGATGGTGTTAATTTTGATCACTTGGGTGAGGTGATAGCTGACTGTCAGGTTTCTCCACTGTAAATTTACCATTTTCATTTTTTGTCATTAATATTTTGGGGGGCCAGGGGGAGAGATACTTTGAGACTATGCAAAAGGACTGCCAGAGAAAATACAGGAAGCCCAGTTGAATTTGAATTCTAGATAAACAACAAATACTTTTTATTTTTATTTATTTATTTATTTATAAAGCCAGTCAAATTTAGCAGTGGGAGGTTGAATACTAACTTTAGTGACACTAATGTTAATAAGTTCTGATAACCCACTACCATCGGACCAGCCAACAAATACTTTTTATTTTTATTTATTTATTTATTTATTGATTGATTGATTGAGACAGAGTCTCGCTTTGTTGCCCAGGCTACAGTGAGTGCTGTGGCGTCAGCCTAGCTCACAGCAACCTCAAACTCCTGGGCTCAAGCGATCCTGCTGCCTCAGCCTCCAGAGTAGCTGGGACTACCGGCATGCACCACCATGCCTGGCTAATTTTTTAAATATATATTAGTTGGCCAATTAATTTCGTTCTATTTTATAGTAGAGATGGGGTCTCACTCTTGCTCAGGCTGGTTTCGAACTCCTGACCTCGAACAATCCGCCCACCTCTGCCTCCCAGAGTGCTAGGATTACAGGCGTGAGCCACCACGCCCGGCCAACAAATACTTTTTAAAGTGTAACTATGATTTCCAAAAATTGTTTATCTAAAATTCTAACTTAATTGGGTGTCTTGTGTTTTCACTTGCTAGATCTGACAATTCTATATGTAAATACCTTGCTCCACATCTAACTTTCACCAAGTTGTTTTGACGTCCATTGAAGACTCTGAATCAGATTTTGCCGAATGGTGATTTTTATAACCTCGTCAATGCTTCTACATTCATTTGTGGGTGTTCTAGCTGCCTGTCTTTTCATCTTCCCTTTACAGTGCCTGGCACACAGTAGGCGCTCAGATATATCGGTTCGACGAATGAATGAATGAACTTTCGCTCGTGGTGGCCGGGCTTCGGTGACAGGAGCTGAGTCAGGCAGGGGCTTGACTTCATCAGCCAATCACAGGATGTTACCGAGGCTCCGGAGCCTTCCAGGGCCTCGCTCTAGGCTCTTCTCGTTCCAATCAAAAGCAGGGCTCTTCTAGGCTTTGCTTACGTTTAATGAGGCCAACCGATTGGCTCCTTCAGCTTCAGCGGGCCCAACAGACAGCCAGTGGCGTGGGGCAGAGACCAATGGGGGCCGGAAGGAGGCGGGGCCTGCCACGCGGCCGCGGTATAACCGCGCTGCCCTGGCGCGCGCGCTTCCCTCCCGGCGCGGGCACCGGCAGGGGCTATGGCTGCAACTTCCCTTGTGTCCGTGTTGGCCTCTCGGCTGTTCCGCCCCGCGCAGAGCTGTTGTCTCCGCCATCGCCCCTTCCACCTCGCTGCAGTTCGGTAAGGGGTCTGGGAGCTGGGTCAGCAAGGAAAGCCGAGGGGAAGGCAGGGTGGCGGCCACCCGGGCTCCCGAGGGACGCCAAGGAACGTCCTCCCTGAGCATCTCTGCCCGGCGGTGGTGGCCGCTGAGAGGGGTCTGGCGGGGTGGCCTGGCACCGGGAGGCCAGCCTTTCTGAGGGAGCCAGTCTGACGCGTGCTCCGGGCATCGCCAGGTCTTCTCGGGGCCAGTCCGCCGGCGGGACGGGGCCGACGGTGCGGAGCGAGGGTGCAGGCGGGCCCTCGGCGTCCCAGTTCCCGTGGGAGGATGCGAAGGTTACCGGCCGGAACCTGCCGGCTGGCCCTGGCAGTGATGCCGAGAGTTGCCCTGGGGACAGCGAGCGCCAGGGAGGTTCAGAGAGAGCCGCCTTGAACGAGCCATCCCTTCCCGGCACCCTAGCGGCGGAGGGCCGCGGTGCAGTCTGATGAAATCCGCCAGCCGGCTTGCTCGCCGGGTACCCGCGCGGGCCCCGCCTCCGGGGAGGGTGTGGCTCGCGCTGCGCCTCAAGCTGCCCCTGGCTCGCCTAGAGTGAAGCGCTAGTCGAGCGGGTTAGTGCCAGGCCCGGTAACTCGAGATGGTAAATACCCAGGAGGTTGCCAGGGGAAGGGAGGAAGGGGGAGTGGAGAGTTATTGTGTCATGACTATGTATAGAGTTTCAGTTTTACAAGATGAAGAGTTCTGGAGGTGGTTAGTGGTGATGGTTGCACAATCTAAATGTGCTTAATAACCACTGAACTGTACGCTTAAAAATGGTTAAGATGGTAAATTTTATGTTACATGTATTTTGCCTCAGTAAGAAAAAATTACCCAGAAGAAGGAAAGGAAAAGCTCTATTTGTATTTCTTTAGAGGTTGATTTTTTCCTGAGCTTTCTGGACCTCAAACTCCCATTTCTAAACCTAGGTTGAAGGGTCTTTTGGGAGGTTGTGATTTCTCTCCCTAAATCTGTGCACCCTCTTTCCTGTCAATCTTTAGAGCATTTGCATTGCTAAAGCCCTGCGCCTTATAACGGCAGCCCCTTCATTTTTCCAGCAAATGTTCACTGTGCCAGGCACTGTTCTATGGTGTGCAAAGTTAGAAATCATAAAGACTCTTCTTTCCTTAGTGGAACTCACATTCCTGGCAAATGCAGGGTAAAAATGCTGTTAGAGACATTTCCAAAACGCTGCTTGTTGGAACACAGAATGTGTATTAATGAGTTCTTGAAGGAAGACTTGGAAGGGAACATTCTTTGGTTAGACACTGACCTGCCTTTTCAACCTCGTCTTTCATTACTGTCTGTTCTCTCCCCCCTACCCTCTCCTGAGCACTTACTTGCTAGCTGCGTGTGCCTGGGGGCAAGACCTTATTCTAAGCTTTTGTTATTTATTTATTTATTTTTTGAGACAGAGTCTTGCTTTGTTGCCCAAGCTAGAGTGAGTGCCATGGCATCAGCCTAGCTCACAGCAACCTCAAACTCCTGGGCTCAAGCAATCCTGCTGCCTCAGCCTCAACGCAGAGTGCTGGGGCTACAGCATGCGCCACCTGCCTGGCTAATTTTTTGTATATATATATTTTTTTAGTTGGTCAATTAATTTCTTTATATTTTTGGTAGAGACAGTCTCGCTCAGGCTGGTTTCGAACTCCTGACATTGAGCAATCTGCCCGCCTTAGCCTCCCAGAGTGCTAGGATTCCAGGCCTGAGCCACCGCCCCGGCCTGAAAAGAGATTTTAAAGATCCTCTAATTCATTCCCTAAAGAACTAGATCAGGCCTGGTGTAGCTCCTGCCTGTAATCCTAGCACTCTGGGAGGCCAAGGTGGGAGGATCACTCAAGGTCAGGAGTTTGAAATCAACCTGAGCAAGAGCCAGACTCCGTCTCTACTAAAAATAGAAAGAAATTAATTGGGGATGAGGGGATGGGTATATACAAACACAATGAGTGAGATGTTTGGGGGATGGTCACGCTTGAAGCTCTGATTCAAGGGAGGAGGAGGGGCATGGACAATATACGGAACCTTAACATTTGTACCCCCGTAATATGCTGAAATAAAATAAAAATAAAAAAAAAAGAAAGAATTGGCCAACTAAAAATATATAGAAAAAATTAGCCGGGAATGGTGGCACATGCCTGTAGTCCCAGCTACTGGGGAGGCTGAAGCAGAAGGATTGCTTGGGCCCAGGAGTTTGAGGTTGCTGTGAGGTAGGCTGATGCCAGGGCACTCACTCTAGCCTGGGCAACAAAGTGAGACTCTGTCTCAAAAAACAAAACAAAACTAGATCAGTTTGCTTATACTCTCCCCAATAATAAATGCTCTTTTCACCTGCCTTCCTGAATGAACAAGTAGGTTCCTCATTTCTAAAGACAATCCATAGTATCTTTACTGCACATTTGGTATTTACGGTTTCCATGTATTGCTTTACCTACTGCTGGCTGGGTAAATGTAAAACAATTATGTCTTTTTAAATATATGAATCTGCATGTGTTCCTTTTATTTTTGTTTAGTATAAAGGTCCCAGGAACATAAACCTCATTGTTGGAGAGAGTACTGAGTCCTAGGAGACAGTCATGTATGGGGTAAATGGACTTTGGAGGCAGAAGTTTTCATTTGAATCTTGCTTCTACTATTCTCAGTTTCCTATTCGGTATAGCAGGGTTATTACTAATAGCCTCAAGGTAACTATAATTGTATATAAAAGTCTTTCTTAGCAGAACACCTAGTGTTTAATAGATGTTGGTCCCATTCCCTTTGTGTCTTTCATTTTTTTTAAATTTTATTTTATTTATTTATTTATTTTTGAGACAGAGTCTCACTTTGTTGCCCAGGCTAGAGTGAATGCCATGGCGTCAGGCTAGCTCACAGCAACCTCAAACTCCTGGGCTCAGGCAATCCTCCTGCCTCAGCCTCCCGAGTAGGTGGGACTACAGGCATGTGCCACCATGCTGGCTAATTTTTCTATATATTAGTTGGCTAATTAATTTCTTTCTATTTATAGTAGAGACGGGGTCTCGCTCTTGCTGGTTTCAACTCCGAACTCAGATGATCCTCCCACCTCAGCCTCCCAGAGAGCTAGGATTACAGGCCTAAGCCACTGTGCCCGGCTCCCTTTGTGTCTTTCTTACTCATTACTGTTCTCGTTAATTAGTAGATAGTAGAACTCTTCCCAAATAACTTGATTATGATTTGTAAACTGCTCCAATATTAATTTTTCATGGAAAATTACAGTATCGTGAGCTATTGAATTAAGAGGAAAGTGAAGATACTACTAACTTGGATTTTAGTTTTGAATTTTATTTAAATAGTCCTTGATTTTCTAGTCTATTGATTCATTATGTTAATGGAAATTTTTCTAAATATATCTGTGAAAGCATTTGATTTCTAGATAAATGTTAGCTAATATGATTGCAATTTGTGCTGGACGAGGCGGCTCACGCCTGTAATCCTAGCACTTTGAGAAGCAGAGGCAGGAGGATCACTTGAGGTCAGAGGTTTGAGACCAGCCTGAGCAAGAGTGAGACCCTGTCATTACTAAAAATAGAAAAAATTAGCTGGGCAACTAAAAATACAAAAAATTAACCGGATGTCATGGTGTTCGCCTGTAGTTCCAGCTACTTGGGAGACTGAGGCAGGAGGAGGGTATAAGGCAGGAGGATCACTGGAGCCCAGGAGTTTGGGGTTTCTGTGAGGTAGGCTGATGCCATGGCACTCTAGCCAGGGTGACAGAGCAAAACTCTGCCTCAAAAAAAAAAAGGAAGAAAGAAAAATTGATTCCCTGTGGGACTGAGCTGAGTTTCCATTGCCCTGTTTATTTAGAGTAGTAGTTACTTTATCTGCCCGTTGGCAAACTGATGCAAAGTTTGTTAATAACTCACTCCCAAGGCTGTGTTCCATGTTTTGCAGAGTTGTGGGAAGGGCTAAAATGCAGTTATATTGCATTGTGGCTTTGTTTTTGGTTTGTATTAGCCTTTGACTTTTTTTTGTTTTATTTTTTAAAGCAAATTGGCATAACACCCAGAACCTGCCTTTGGAAGCAAAGACTTGGACTTGGAACACTGGCTTCTCCCAGAACCCTGTGTCCTTAACTTTAGTATATCAATTTTATCTGAATGTGCTGCTACCATTTTATCTAAGTTTATTGCTTTCAAAAGAACTTTTATGAAGTGCAAGCCAAGTTCTCACTATTTATATATATATATAAAATATATATATTTCTACGAGTATCGCATACATAAATCTGTTATATATTAAGGGTATATATGTATGAGTGTGCATATATGTATAAATATGTATAAAATCAAGACAAGAGAGTATGAAATTAGTTTTATTGAACATATATGCCTGGTACTTTTTTTTTTTTGAGACAGAGTCTCGCTTTGTTGCCCAGGCTAGAGTGAGTGCCGTGGCGTCAGTCTCGCTCACAGCAGCCTCAAACTCCTGGGCTCAAGCGATCCTCCTGCCTCAGCCTTCCGAGTAGCTGGGACTACAGGCATGCGCCACCATGCCGGCTAATTTTTCTATATATATTAGTTGGCCAATTAATTTCTTTCTATTTATAGTAGAGATGGGGTCTTGCTCTTGCTCAGGCTGGTTTCGAACTCCTGACCTTGAGCTATCCTCCCGCTTCGGCCTCCCAGAGTGCTAGGGTTACAGGCGTGAGCCACCTCGCCCGGCCGCCTGGTACTTAATTTCATTCAATATAAATGACTATCCTAAGTCCATTATAAGTAGTCTTTCACTCTATAGTGTTCCAGGGTTAGAAATGTATTTCTGGCTTGGGGCAGGTATTACAGGTACTTTTATATATCAGGAATGTTGCCAGGAGTATTTGTATCAGCAAAGCCCTTTTAATGAAGTCCTTTTCTACTCTTATTCTTAAATGGATTTGTGAATGTTAACATGTTTTCAATTCTGAATGTTGTGCCATGCTACTATTATTACATAAAATCTGGGTAAAAGTATTTGATTTGCTATAAAATGAGATCTTAATACTTCACAGGATGTAGTACAGATTAATGTAAAATTTAGATATAAAATTATTGCATTATATTTAAGATATTGAAATTTGGCTTAAAGTAGGTATTTAATCATAGTGCAAATAAAAGCAGGCATTGAAAACAGATTGTTAAAGCTTTAAAATTCCATTGTAATTAGCAGTGGGCTTGAGAATTAATCCTATGTGACCATACAAGATATTCAGTACCTTTATGTTATCCCTGAGAATTAAATATGTGTCATAAGAGGAAATTGATGTTTCATTGGTCTTGAGGTTAGAGTAGTCTTCATGGCCATGAGGACAGAAATCTAAAGGAAAAGACTTGTTTTCTTGGGATCTTTTTGCTTAAGTAATGGGCACTTTATGGTAAGGACCTATGTGGAAATAAGAAATCTGGAATTTTCCATATTTGGGCTTCATGCAGGGGTCCTCAAACTTTTTAAACAGGGGGCCAGTTCACTGTCCCTCAGACCGTTGTAGAGTGCCATGCACATTCCACACATGCGCACTGTGGGCCCTGGACCAGTCGGCTGCTAAGCAGGACAGGCACCATCGGCAAAAACACCCGGCAGGCCGGATAAATGTTCTCTGCGGGCCGCAGTTTGAGGACGCCAGGCATGGAACCCAGGAAGGACCAATGAAACCAGTTCCTGTTGGGAAGAGACGGCTTCTGGGAGATCTGCACATAGTTTTAGGAACTGGAGAGTCGTCTAGGTCCTCAGTTTTCTCATGCTGCATCTCTGGCAGCAGTTTTCTGATTTCTTGCCCTAATTGTCTCCCACTGATGTGACTGCTGTTCCTTCTGTCTCTTTTTGTGTCTTTCTCCTGTTGCTCCTATCTAGGAAGGGGTCTTCTGTGGTTCTGCTTTGAACTCCCTCAGGGAGAAGCTCTTGAAGATTCAGTTAAATCTCACTGTTGCTGTTGGGCTAAGCTTTTGCACCGGCGCATTGCTGGCCTAGAAATTGTTGTCCTCGGTGTCAGATATTCTCTGCTGGTCTGTCAGCTTCGGATGGTTCAGTGGGGTCCTTATGGGTCAGTGGGGTCCTTGGGAAGAGCACACTGGTATCTATGAGAAGGAACCTCCTTTGGTCCCCGTCCTTCCCCCTCTTACCAGGAAAGTCTTCCCTAGAAGGGGCTGTGGGGAGTGGTTGGCATTTTGAGGTTTGACCCGTCCAGTATATTTATTGTTTATTGGTTTAACTATGTAACATAATTTACATATTTAAAAGCACTATAAAAATTAAAAGCTAATTGACTAACTGGGAAATGATTTGAAACACATGACTAATGCTAACAACGTGGGCAAAATAGGAACTACAAATGGCATATTAGCGTAAACGAAAAACTTTATAGTGGTGAGGAGTCAAATGCCAATTAAAACTGAAAGCTTTTTCGTTTTTTTTTAAGCCTGTTACTTTAGCAATGATCAGGAGGCAGGGTGGTGTGACAGTTAACAGCCTAGACTCTGACATGAGACCCAGTTTGGCCAGTACTCGCTGTCAGTCACTTACTTAAACTCTCAGAACTTCAGGTTAGTGACAGCAACTATTTCTGTCAACTTTGTCCCCCTAAATATGCTCCTGGACACAAATTTACCACTTTGAATCTGTCCTTCAGATTTTGGTTGTTCTTCAGAATAGGCACCATGTGTTTTAACCTAAGTTTTAAATTTTTGGTTTTTAATAACTTTTTGTAGTCTGAGCTTTACTTTGTTGTTGTTGTTGTTTTTTTTTTTTTTTGAGCTTTACTTTTTACAAAAATTCAAGCTATTTGGTTTGGTGACTATTGCTTTCTATAGAAATGAAGCTGTTGTCATTTCTGGAAAGAAACTGGCCCAGCAGATCAAGCAGGAAGTGCGGCAGGAGGTGGAAGAGTGGGTGGCCTCTGGCAATAAACGACCCTACCTAAGCGTGATTCTGGTTGGAGAGAATCCTGCAAGTCACTCCTATGTCCTCAACAAAACCAGAGCTGCTGCAGATGTGGGTATGTGTCACTCTCAAACCCCAACCATTGTTAAATTGAGGTTTATGCCAGGCAAACTCTTGTGATTTATGATTCCTTTTTCTGATTAGAAAACCCAAGCAGAGGGGGCTTGTGTGATTGAACTGTATCCAAAACTCTGTCATAAGGAAATCAGGCTGTGTCTATTGGGGAGGTTTATAGACTAGGACAGAGATTTTGTTGGTATTCTTGGTGTCTTCTGGAATATAAGCTAAATTCTGTTCTTTTTTATTTTTGAGACAGAGTCTTACTTTGTTGCCCAGGTTAGAGTGAGTGCCGTGGCATCAGCCTAGCTCACAGCAACCTCAGTCTCCTGGGCTCAAGTGATCCTACTGCCTCAGCCTTCCAAGTAGCTGGGACTACAGGCATGCGCAACCATGCCCGGCTAATTTTTTGCCTATATATGTTTTTAGTTGGTCAATTAATTTCTTTCTATTTTTAGTAGAGACGGGGTCTTGCTTAGGCTGGTTTTGAACTCTTGAGCTTGAGTAATCCGCCCGCCTCCCAGAGTGCTAGGATTATAGGCGTGAGCCACCTCGCCCAGCCTAAATTCTGTTTAGTCATAACATTTGATAGGTGACCTTGAAGATATTTTACATTTGCTTTCCTTGAGCAATATGAGTCTCAGACTGAGGTGGGGTGTTGGCAGTTTGAAGCAGTAGGAGAACAATTGAGCAATATGGTATTAAGAGACCTCAGTGATGTGGTTAAGAATACAGTCATACTTGAAGGAAATGACTCTGGCTTCTGAGAAATGGCTTTCAAGTTCTTCACCTATTGATTCCAAAGGCAATCATACAGTTTAGAAGCAGTTCTGGTCTGGGTGATGAAAGGTTTGTGTTCTGGGTCTCGTGGTGCAACACATTACTGTGTGGCTGTAGATAAGAGGAGGATGGGCTCAGATATGCCTCCACCTGCTCATATGTGGGTCAGTGGTCTGGGCACCAGGTTCCCTTTCCTTCTGATGAGCTGTGAAACCAGTGTCGTGTCTGGGTGGAGCCACTGGCCCATGAGCCCTTGGTGTACTATATTTTTTATCACTGACGATTGAGGCCTCCTGCCCTTTTAATTGAAAACCTTTAGAAACCCCTAGAAAATAGCATGCCATGATATTTTCAGACATTGGAAGGTAGCGCAGTGCAGTGGAAAGAATGACTTTCAAACCAGAAAGATTGGCTACCTCACTAGCTGACTTGTTTTTTAATTTCTCTGGGTTAATGATAACTGTATAGAATAACATCCAGGGAGTATTTGGCTAGTATTCCCTAGTGTATATGTTTGCGAAATTACTTTTTGGGTTCCTTGTGAGCTGATTCAGTTTTTCAGCTAGTGAGATGGATGTGATGATAAAAGAACTTGTGCGGTAGCAGAGCATGGCAGGCAACATAGCAGTGCTCATCAAATGAGTCAGTATTTTTTTAACCGCAACATTTTCTTATAATAGGAATCAACAGTGAGACAATTGTGAAACCAGCTTCAATTTCAGAGGAAGAATTGTTGAATTTAATCAATAAATTAAATAATGATGATAATGTGGATGGCCTTCTTGTTCAGCTGCCTCTTCCAGGTGAGTTTTGGACTCTGCCATTTACAAGGATTTCCGAGGAGTAGAGAGAGGCCTTGTTACTTGTTACACCTCGCCCTTCATGGGTGCTTGACTTAAAGGCAAGGTAAACTCAGAAGAGTCAATATTTAATTAGAGATGGTACATAGCTACTCAGAATACCAACTACGCCCTGATTTAGCATTAAGATCTTAATACAAGGGACAGTGGGGGGAAATAGTTGTCAAAGAGGATGTTGGCTTTGATATTGGCACTTGGCTTTGCTTAATGTGAGTTCTTTCTGTGCTGGTGAAGTAAATCATAGAAAAGGAATGGATTTGTGTGACAAACCAGAAAATCTGGAGTCAAGCAGCTCTACTAACAGTGATTTAAGACCATGATGACTTCTTTTTCAGAGCACATTGATGAGAGAAAGATTTGCAATGCTGTTTCTCCAGATAAGGATGTTGATGGCTTTCATGTAATTAATGTAGGGCGAATGTGTCTGGATCAGTACTCCATGTTACCAGCTACCCCGTGGGGTGTGTGGGAAATAATTAAGAGAACCGGTAGGTATATCCCAGAATTGTATGTCTGTATTAGTATTATAATAATAGTACTTGCAATATAAAAATTCCGGCAATCTTATTCCCCAGAGATTACCTGTCTTAACAGTTGCCTAGGGCAGTTTTTGCTCTTTAATCCAGAAGTCTCAGTGAAGGAAACTTAAGACTTACTAGTGGTCATAGTGCACATTTGTATAGCATTTTGTAGCTTACAGAGTGCTTTCTCCTGTTTTCTTTTAGCCCTCAGCATGTGTAGCAAGCGATAGCTCTAATTGACTGATGAAGCTTAGTGAGCTCACTTTCAAAATTGTATTCATGTTTTCAGCCATCTGACTTCCTTTGGTGCTCATTCTAAGACAGATGGGCACTACTTCTAATGCAAATAAATATACACATATTTTTATAGGTATTCCAACCCTAGGAAAGAATGTGGTCGTGGCTGGAAGGTCAAAAAATGTTGGAATGCCCATTGCAATGTTACTACACACAGATGGGGCACATGAACGTCCTGGAGGTAAGGAAATTGCTCTCAGAGCAGTGTCTTCTTCTTCCTAATGTCAGAACTTTCTGTAGCCATCCTGTCGTTGTTTGGAAGTATTAACATACTTTGTATTTGTATTTTTTTTTTTTTTTTTTTTGGGGGAAGATCAGTCTTCTCGTTCCAATCAAAGCAGGTCTTCTAGGCTTTGCTTACGTTTAATGAGGCCAACCGATTGGCTCCTTCAGCTTCACGCCACAAACAAGCAGAACAGGGGGCAAAAAGGAAGGCCAATGCCCAGCGGCGCGGTATAACCGCGCTGCCCTGGCGCGCGCTTCCCCTCCGGCGCGGCACCGGCAGGCTATGCTGCACTTCCTGTGTCCGGTTGGCCCTCGGCTTGTTCCGCCCCGCGCAAGAGCTTGTGTCTCGCCATCGCCCTTCCACCTCGCTGCAGTTCGGTAAGGGTCTGGGAGCTGGGTCAGCAAGGAAAGCGAGGGGAAGGCAGGGTGGCGGCCACCCGGGCTCCCGAGGGACGCCAAGGAACGTCCTCCCTGAGCATCTCTGCCCGGCGGGTGGCCGCTGAGAGGGGTCTGGCGGGGTGGCCTGGCACCGGGAGGCAGCCTTTCTGAGGGAGCCGTCTACGCGTGCTCCGGGCATCGCAGGTCTTCTCGGGCCAGTCGCCGGCGGGACGGGGCGACGGTGCGGAGCGAGGGTGCAGGCGGCCTCGCGTCCAGTTCCCGTGGGAGGAGCGAAGGTTACCGGCCGGAACTGCCGCTGGCCCTGGCTGTGATGCCGAGAGTTGCCCTGGGACAGCGAGCGCCAGGAGGTTCAGAGAGAGCCGCCTTGAACGAGCCATCCTTCCCGGGACCCTAGCGCGGAGGGCCGCGGTGCAGTCTGATGAAATCCGCAGCCGCTTGCTCGCCGGTACCGCCGGCGGCCGCCTCCGGGAGGGTGTGGCTCGCGCTGCTCCTCAAGCTGCCTGGCTCGCTAAGATGAAGCGCTATCGAGCGGGTTATGCAGGCCGGTAACTCGAGATGTAAATACCAGGAGGTTGCCAGGGGAAGGAGGAAGGGGAGTGGAGAGTTATGTGTCATGACTATGTATACGATTTCAGTTTTACAAGATGAAGAGTCTGGAGGTGGTTAGTGGTGATGTTGCACAATCTAAATGCTTAATAACCACTGAACTGTACGCTTAAAAATGGTTAAGATGGTAAATTTTATGTTACATGTATTTGCTCAGTAAAAAAAATTACCCAGAAGAAGGAAGGAAAAGCTTATTTGTATTACTTTCTTTTTTTTTTTTTTTTTTTTTTTTTTTTTTTTTTTTTTTTGAGACAGAGTCTCGCTTTGTGCCCAGGCAGAGTGAGTGCCGTGGCGTCAGCCTAGCTCACAGCAACCTTCAAACTCTGGGCTCAAGTGATCCTCCTGCCTCAGCCTCCCAAGTAGCTGGACTACAGGCATGCACCACCATGCCGGCTTAATTTTTTGTATATATATTAGTTGCCAATTATTTATTTCTATTTATAGTAGAGACGGGTCTCGCTCTTGCTCAGGCTAGTTTCGAACTCCTGACCTGAGCAATCCGCCGCCTCGGCCTCCCAGAGAGCTAGGATTACAGGCGTGACCACCGCGCCCGGCCATCTATTTGTATTTTTTAGGTTGATTTTTTCCTGAGCTTTCTGGACCTCAAAACTCCCATTTCTAAACCTAGGTTGAAGGTCTTTTGGGAGGTTGTGATTTCTCTCCCTAAATCTGTGCACCCTCTTTCCTGTCAATCTTTAGAGTATTTTGCATTGCTAAAGCCCTGCGCCTTATAACGGCAGCCCTTCATTTTTCCAGCAAATGTTCACTGTGCCAGGCACTGTTCTATGGTGTGCAAAGTTAGAAATCATAAAGACTCTTCTTTCCTTAGTGGAACTCACATTCCTGGCAAATGCAGGGTAAAAATGCTGTTAGAGACATTTCCAAAACGCTGCTTGTTGGAACACAGAATGTGTATTAATGAGTTCTTGAAGGAAGACTTGGAAGGGAACATTCTTTGGTTAGACATGACCTGCTTTTTCAACCTCGGCTTCATTACTGTCTGTTCTCTCCCCCCTACCCTCCTGAGCACTTACTTGCTAGCTGCGTGTGCCTGGGGCAAGACTTATTCTAGGCTTTTGTTATTTATTTATTTATTTTTTGAGACAGAGTCTTGCTTTGTTGCCCAACTAGATGAGTGCCGTGGCATCCAGCCTAGCTCACAGCAACCTCAAACTCCTGGGCTCACAAATCCTGCTGCCTCAGCCTCCCGAGTAGCTGGGGCTACAGGCATGCGCCACCATGCCTGGCTAATTTTTTGTATATATATATTTTTTTAGTTGGTCAATTAATTTCTTTATATTTTTGGTAGAGACAGTCTCGCTCAGGCTGGTTTCGAACTCCTGACATTGAGCAATCTGCCCGCCTTAGCCTCCCAGAGTGCTAGGATTCCAGGCCTGAGCCACCCCCCGGCCTGAAAAGAGATTTTAAAGATCCTCTAATTCATTCCCTAAAGAACTAGATCAGGCCTGGTGTAGCTCCTGCCTGTAATCCTAGCACTCTGGGAGGCCAAGGTGGGAGGATCACTCAAGGTCAGGAGTTTGAAATCAACCTGAGCAAGAGCCAGACTCCGTCTCTACTAAAAATAGAAAGAAATTAATTGGGGATGAGGGGATGGGTATATACAAACACAATGAGTGAGATGTTTGGGATGGTCACGCTTGAAGCTCTGATTCAAGGGAGGAGGAGGGGCATGGACAATATACGGAACTAAATTTGTACCCCATAATATGCTGAAATAAAAAAATAAAAAAAAGAAAGAAAGAATTGGCCAACTAAAAATATATAGAAAAAATTAGCCGGAATGGTGGCACATGCCTGTAGTCCCAGCTACTGGGGAGGCTGAAGCAGAAGGATTGCTTGGGCCCAGGAGTTTGAGGTTGCTGTGAGGTAGGCTGATGCCAGGGCACTCACTCTAGCCTGGGCAACAAAGTGAGACTCTGTCTCAAAAAACAAAACAAAACTAGATCAGTTTGCTTATACTCTCCCCAATAATAAATGCTCTTTTCACCTGCCTTCCTGAATGAACAAGTAGGTTCCTCATTTCTAAAGACAATCCATAGTATCTTTACTGCACATTTGGTATTTACGGTTTCCATGTATTGCTTTACCTACTGCTGGCTGGGTAAATGTAAAACAATTATGTCTTTTTAAATATATGAATCTGCATGTGTTCCTTTTATTTTTGTTTAGTATAAAGGTCCCAGGAACATAAACCTCATTGTTGGAGAGAGTACTGAGTCCTAGGAGACAGTCATGTATGGGGTAAATGGACTTTGGAGGCAGAAGTTTTCATTTGAATCTTGCTTCTACTATTCTCAGTTTCCTATTCGGTATAGGGTTATACTAATAGCCCTCAAGGTAACTATAATTGTATATAAAAGTCTTTCTTAGCAGAACACCTAGTGTTTAATAGATGTTGGTCCCATTCCCTTTGTGTCTTTCATTTTTTTATTTATTTTATTTATTTATTTATTTTTGAGACAGAGTCTCACTTTGTTGCCTAGGCTAGAGTGAATGCCATGGCGTCAGGCTAGCTCACAGCAACCTCAAACTCCTGGGCTCAGGCAATCCTCCTGCCTCAGCCTCCCGAGTAGGTGGGACTACAGGCATGTGCCACCATGCCTGGCTAATTTTTTCTATATATATTAGTTGGCTAATTAATTTCTTTCTATTTATAGTAGAGACGGGGTCTCGCTCTTGCTGGTTTCAAACTCCTGAACTCAGATGATCCTCCCACCTCAGCCTCCCAGAGAGCTAGGATTACAGGCCTAAGCCACTGTGCCCGGCTCCCTTTGTGTCTTTCTTACTCATTACTGTTCTCGTTAATTAGTAGATAGTAGAACTCTTCCCCAAATAACTTGATTATGATTTGTAAACTGCTCCAATATTAATTTTTCATGGAAAATTACAGTATTGTGAGCTATTGAATTAAGAGGAAAGTGAAGATACTACTAAC